GAGGAAGGTTGGGATTCTTTGAATTAACAAAAAAATCTACTCTCAAGTAATAGAGAAATAGTATCGTTGTCATCATATTATATTCATTGCATAACCCTATTTAATAATTTTTAATAATAAATTTCACCATAATAAGTTCACTAATATAAAAACTTAGTACAACCTTGTTATCTCAAGTTTAAATAACACAAAACTTGATCATAGCATCAATAAAAAAAACTGGATTTAGAAAAAGAAGAAATCGTTGATATTGTTGTGATGTGTGGTATTGAATTATTCTTAAAAATATGGGTTAATAAAGAATAACACACTATTTCATTATGTCAAAACAAAAATTACAAATACAAATTTAAATTCAAAATTTTCCTTATTTCTGCCATTTTATTATATATACATCCCATCTATTAAAAGTATCCGTACACCTATTTTTACTAGAGGCTAATAAACAGTTGGCCGGTGTTAAATTATTCCATTAACCCGTTATTAAAGTAATCCATTAATCTGTTAAAATAGTAGATTACCCTTAATTCCAATTTGTGATAAATGAAAAGGATCGATATGCATTTTGGCCAGAACCCTTGAATCTATTTTTAATTGTATAAAGTTAAAATGACAAAGTGTCCCACTTAATTGTGAAATGAAGCCACATTCACATTATCGGTTGATGTAAGAGAATGGAGAGTAAAAGTGAAATACAACTAAATTGATTTACCACCTATTGAAAATCTTTGTAATTATAATTTATTGTCACCTAGAAAGATAATATAAAGATAATATAAAGGTAATAATAATAATAATTGATTCATAATGAGCAGACATAAGAATTGTTCATTATTTAAAAGAACTTAAGTCATCAAATAACAACATACTAACATTTTTTTGTACACTAAAATCATAAATTACATGGTTGTGTGATTTCTTATTTATATGCTTAACCGATTAGGTTTTTTTGACCTCTAATTTTTTAGGTCTTCACGAAGGTAGTAAGATATCTCCAAACAACTGAAAATCCTGGTAGGACAAAATTGCAAAAGAAAATGTTCTATAAAAAAAACATGTCGAATATAAACGGTATTGAGGTTTTTCATCTTGTACAATTTGCACGAGCTTAAGATTTTCTGTAGAAATGTGCAAAATACATAATAAATTTGTTTGCTCACGATATAAATTTAGAGGTGCGACGGATTCAGTTGGATCAAATTTATCATTTTTTTTCTTCAATGTTATTATTCGCAAAGTAAAAGAAAAGGATAGCAAGCTAGTACACAAAATGAGGAAATAATAATAATAATAACACCAACCAATCAAGAAAAAAAATGCGAAATTTATCCTTGCAGTTGGTGTAAATATGCAAAAAACCGATTGATGTTATATTAATATAGTAACTAATTTTACATATCCATTTGCTTTCGGTATGATTGTGCACCGCCGTTGTAAAAATATTCTTCCTTTTACACCAGCTGCAAAACATTGTTATCTTTCTATTACTATCTTCACTTTGTTCAACCCAAGGGTAAATTCGTAATCGATTTGGATCAAAATCTTCACCTTCTTGTCCGATTGTTCCTTTATTTTTCGCTTTTGTGTACTAGCTGCTGCCTGTTCGGATCCTTCATTACTTTTTTCTTTATCCTCAGAGTCTACTTTTGCGAATAACAAATTTATCCATTATTGAATACTTTTTCAAAAGCTTTAATGTGAATGGAGTGAATAAAAAAGATATTTAAAGAAAATTTGAAAATTGAATGTTCACTCGGAAAAAAATCGTAACAAGGGATGGGGAAAAATTCAATATTCATGTGCATGATGCGCACAATGCACACTGCATCTGCCGATCTTTTTTATTTTTAAAAACAGATTTTTAGTCTCTGGTAAATATCATAGTGGACATTCGTTTTATCGCTTGTGACAAAATCAATCGTCAATCTTTTTTGCTATTTCAATTGAATTTAGAATAGAAAAAAGTCGCGTGACTAAAGTTGGTGTCTGTAACTGTTTTCACATTTTCTGAAACTGCAGGTTTTAAAGCTCGAGTTGCAACTTTTTCTACAACCTCTGCAACCCCTGAAACTATAATTATGATGATTTAGTATCAAAAATGGAATCACATAACTGCAAAATGGGATTTATTGTTTTTAAATAAAATCATTAATTAAAAAAATTTTTTTGATAAAATAAATTTAATTTTATAGGGATTGAAGCAGGTGATTCGGACATTTTCCAAACAGGCAAAACCTTTATCCATTTGTCATCATGGATAAAGGTTTTGCCTGTAGAGGGATATATTATAATTATCCTACCCATGAGTTTGTCGATCATAGAGTGAGTTATCCGGACAAAATCCCGGAGATCAACATCAGAAATATCCACGCCACACACCCCGAAAGGCAGAAGCTTTACCCATTGTTATTCCATGGATAAAGGATTTGCCTTTCGGAAAATGTCCGAATTAGGTGGATTGAAGTTGCAGAGCCATCTTTACATGTGACTGTGCACAAAATCCATTTTATGGAAAATCTTTTTTTTTATATTAATATATCATAATGATAGTGGTGGCTGAAACTAACCCATAGTTTAGGCATTTAGGCAATTTCGGTTTAGTTCTAGTTTCACCCATGAAGTTTTTCCAGCGAAATTGGCAAAACTTAAAATGGCCTAAGCTGTGGGCAAAATTCCTAAACTGCAAAACTTATTAATATTAGTGTTTAAATTTCTACTATTCATGTTATGACCTGGATTCTTAAATAAACCTTTACTTGCCAATGTCCAACTACAACTTTGTCTGTTTATTTTTTGCTTTTTTAATGGTGGTTGATTGCTCTTTTGAAGACAAAACAGAACAATATAGGAATGTGTTAAATTAATTTTTATTATGTGAATCTACACAATTAATAAAATTTTTTTTCTTCATTATTTTATTTTAAATACATTTATTCATTAATTAAATCTTTAAAAATATGGTTTTAAAAGGATTTTTGACAGCATTGTTAAAACACAAATTCCTTTGTTCTTTTGTCCATTTGGAACAATGTTTGGGACTTGAATTCCTAATTGTCATCTCCGTAATAGATGGACTGATAATCAATCATGCAGAAAATTAATCATCTTCCCACATTATTATATGTTTTTTTTCTTATCATATTTTCACAAATGTCAAACCCAATTACATCTGATTCTTCAAGTTCTAATACTCAAAAAACTTCTCTTTCGCCTCCTCTATCTTTTACATATTCTCTTTCCTCTTTTCATCACTTTCTCTAATACCTATTAATAATGAAATAGATACACAAAGAAAAAAAGGTGGACGTCCACATGCTGTAGTATGGAATTACTTTAATAAAAGAATAAAAATTTCTCCTGATCATTACATTGCTGATTGTAAAAGTTGTGGAAAGCATCGGAATAAGGGTTCTCCCACTATGATGGAACATCACACCCTATAAAAATTTTGGTACGGAAAATGTATGGAAACTGTATGGAATTTGTACAGTAAAACAGTACATGAACCATATTGTTTTACGGAATAGGTACGGAAAAAATGTACGGAATCTTCCTGTTAAATGCGCCGAAATGTATGGAATTTGTGCGGGATAGATACAAAGTAGGTGCAGAATGTGCACGAAACATGCATGGGATACACACAGTTTTTACGGAAAACATATGGAATTCGTTTTCCCTCGTACGTTTTCCACACGAATTTCACATTAGCACATCACGTAATTCATACGGGAAATGTACAAGAAAAATGGGTTTCGTAAAAACCGTGTGTATTCTGTGCGTGTTTCTGCACCTACTTCGTATCTATCCCGTACAAATTCCGTACATTTCAGCGCATTTAACAGGAAGATTCCATACATTTTTCTGTACCTATTCCGTAAAACAATACAGTTCATGTACTGTTTTGCCGTATGTTATTTTTTATAGGGCTGCAGGGTTGCAGAGATTGCAGAAAAGGTTGCAATTTGAGCTTTAAAACCTGTAGTTTCAGAAAATGTGAAAACAGTTACAGACATCAAATTTAATTGTGTTCAATGAATTCTATTTTTATATACTAGTTGTGTGTAAGGTTGTGGGCGAAACCTCTTAATGACTGTCGAAACTCTGTTGAAACTCTAATGAACAATTAATGTGTAACCTGTCGAAACTCTGATGATTGGCGAAAACCCCAAATGCGAAACTCTGCCGAAACTCTAATAAACAATTAATGTGTAACCTGTCGAAACTCTGTTGATTGATTTCTGGAGGAGTTTCTCCCGCAACCTTAGTTCAAACTCTTTCATTTTTTTCTCTAAAAAAATCTTATGATAAAATATCACATCTTCTCATTCATGGCCATAATAGTAGATGCCTTTTTTCTTAGATTGTGGGATTAATCCAAGTTTTTTAAGCCAAACACAAGAAGTATTATCTGATTGATTTTTTATTTTCTATCAATAGTTTAGAGTTAACAAATTCTTTATATTCTAAAGGTGTTGTCCTCCACTTAGTCTGATAAACTCAAGACTACCATTAATAACATCTTCATCATCAATTAATGATTTTATTTTTTGATCCTGACTATACCGAACTCTGGATATAGCGAACCAAAATCTCCATGACCGAATTTTTATAATTAATAAATCTGTTTATAACAACTTTATTAATAAATCTGCTTATAATGGATCCAAACTCATCTTTTTGAATTTTCATATTTGATTTGCTCTTTCTGTAACGAACTGTTACATAATATCATGTGTAACATGATGTAAAAATTTCGTTTTCTGATAAAATAATAAACATTTTAAGGCATCAAAAAAAATAACCTTGTTGTATCAAAAATGTAACATTCGCCATAGTTCAACAAATTAATAATAGTATAACATGATGTAATATTTATTGACAAATCATTATTATCTAATCTGGTAACATTATGTAATCAATCTTGCCAAATTAATATCATATTGCATATTCAGTTTTTTTTTACATGTTGTCAGTTAGTATTAATGTTAATAATCATTATTATGTCCAAAAAATATTTCATCAAGTGTGAGGTATTTTTGAAACAAATTTTTAAACATTCATCATCATTTTTCATCATTTTCATCACACTTGCATCAACTTTCACCACTTTCATCACTTCCATCATTTTCTAGTGTATACATCCCATTTCGTCACATTTAATTTCATCATTAACTTTGATTATGTCATGGCTTTTTGTAAAGAATTTGCATGATTAGTAATGCCAATACATTATTATAAATACTCTCAATTTCTAGCCAATTCATACTTAATAAATTATTAATACATTATTAATGAATATGTCAACTCAAAAAAGAACAAGTCTTTCTGTTTCCCAAAAACATGAACTTTGTGAGGTAAAAAACAATAATCCAATGCAGAGCTTGCCATACAATACAATATTGGGAAAGCAACAGTTACTGATATCTTAAAAGAGAAAGAACATTGGCTTTCCATTACAAGTGAATGGGATGATTTGAAGAAATTTTGTGTACCTAAGTGGCCACAACTTGAAGAAGCTCTTAGTCTTTGGGTTGATAATGCACTTAATGCACAACAAGACATCACTGGCCATATTTTAAAAGAGAAAGCAAAATATTTTGCAGCTCAGCTTTCAATCAATGATTTTCATTCATCAGATGGGTGGTTGACAGGTTTTAAAAATTGTCATGGACTTCGTCAATTCACAAAACAAGGTGAAGCTGCAAGTGCACCATCTGTTGAGCAATTAGAAAATGAATGAATTTCACTACAGACACTCTTGGTGCTTATAGTCCTGAAGACATTTGGAATGGTGATGAAACCGGTCTCTTTTGGAAGATGGAACCTTCATGTGTTTTAGCTTGTAATAAACTATCAGGCCACAAAAAAGATAAATCTTGAATTACAATTTTTTGTGCTGAAAACTCTTTGGGAACAGAGAAGATGAGACTTAGTTTTATTCACCAATATCGGAGACCTCAGGCAATGCAAAACTTAAATTACAATAACTTGCCTCATTTATTATTATTGGAATAAGACTGCTTGGATGCAAGTTAGCATTTTTAATGAAATTCTCTTAACACTTAACAAAAATATGAAAAAACAAAATAGAAATATTTTATTGCTAATTGATAATGCACCAGTACATATTATCCTTGAAGAAACTGCAGAGAAATTGGATAGTGTAAAAGTTGAATTTCTTCCACCAAATACTACAACTTTTCTTCAACCTTGTGATGCTGGGATCATTCATTCCTTTAAATGTAAATACAAAACTCTATTTGTTCAAAATTGAATTAAAGCATATGATGATTTTCAAGATGGCACAGCAAATGCACTTGCTGATTATACCATATACAATGCTTTAATAAATGCAGCAGATGCATGGTCTAATGTATCATCACAAACAATATGCAACTGCTGGTTAAAGACTGGTATTCTTCCAGAAAGAACAATTGTCGAACCTTCCAGTATCAATGATGAGGATGAAGAGAAAGATTTGGAAATGTTGCTTGAAAAGTTACCAAATGGTGAAGATCTTTCAGCAAATGAATATATTAACATTGAGGATTGGATGAGCCTCACTGATGAAAATATAATAGAAATGGTAAACCAAGAAGGGGAGGAGAGTAGTAAAGAGGAAATGAATTAGTAGAAAAAATCGAAATCATAAGTAACGCAGTAGCTAGAGAGTCGGTAGATATAGTTTTAAAATATTTGTACCAGCAAGAACTGGAATTTGGTGAGGTTGATGATGAAATAAGGGTTTTGAGAAGATTAAATAGACGGATTGGATTAGCCATTCAAAAAAATCTTAAACAACCTGGCCTCCACCACTACTTTGAGGATAAAATAATTGAGTAGATTCAGTTTATTTTATTCAAATCCAATGTCATATTTGATTTTAAATGTATCATATAACATCTCATTTAAAATTCATTTTGATGATAGCCTATCTATTTATCTAATTATGTACTGTATATCTTATATTCATTATTGTATTATGTATTTTATTATATAAGATAATAAAAATAATTTGTATTTTTACAAACTTTAATATCAAGAAATGAAAATTAATATTTGCCAAGGTAATAAAATAGAATAAAATTTTCCTACAATCACTGCTGGAAAAAATCCATCACGCAATGTGACACAAAGATGTTAGCTGGTTATAACGAACTCTGTCTATAACAAATGAAAATTTTCATGACAGGGAGTTCAGTATAGCCAGAGTCAACTGTACTTCATTTTTAAACCAATGCAATGCCCATTTACAAATACATGTTGCCTTATATGAAACTTTATTATCTTTATTATAAACTTCTTTTGCTGCACAAATACTTGCTTCTATCTTACCTAAATCTTTATTTAAATTAACAAATTATTTATTTATAAATTGCTAAATATTGAAAGCATTCATCTGCAGGGTAATTTTTTATTTTTTAAAATAGTTGTAAGCTTATTCAATTGTTCTAAATTGTTCTTATTTTTAAAATTTATATTCTCTTATTCAGATGAATAATCAAAATCATCAAAATCAGCAGGGTTAGCATATAAACTTAGATCTACACTCACTGGACAAAAGTATAGGGACACCTGCAGATCATTGCAAATAATTGAATAAAGTGACATGACAAAAACTAAAAATTTTACTATCCCAATCACACTTGCTTATTAAGTAAAAATTAATCTTCATATCAAATACTATAATATACTGAAGTTTTACCACATACAATTAAACCATTGTTGTTTTACAAACTTTAAAAGATAAACAATAAAATTCTGGAATTTTTTTAAAAATCTTTAACTCAAAAATTGACCACATTAGCAAGTTCTAACGACCTTTGTGGTATAAGTGAAAAATGTTTCTCATGTTTAAATCTAGTTACTTCTAAATTTCAGAGCATTTGGTAGATTAATTAACGAGAGAAAAAATAAAATGTAAAAAAATTCACGAAACAATTCAACCTCAAACTGCTCACTAATTTGAAACATAAAAGACATCAAAAAATATATGAAACTATTTTAAATTAATTGTATTTTATTAAAAAAAAATCAATATCTTGTCGGGTTTCCTCCACTTTTTAAAACAGCATCAACCCTTCGTGGCATACTATCTATTAATTTATTAATTTTTTCTGGATTAGTATTAAACCACTCCTCTTTCAATAAATCAAATAATTCAATCTTATTTTTTAAATCCTGCCAAAAATTTTCAATAGGGTTGAGATCTGGCTTTGTGCAGGCCAGGGGAGAACCATGACGTTATTATTTTCTTTCCATATGTTTGCAGCAGCTGCTTTATGACATGGTGCATTATCTTCTTGAAAGATAAATACACCATCACCATCATTATGGCAATCTTCTCTACTTAATTCGTTAATAAAAGGTAATAAATTGGCTGCAAGAAGGTTATTATAATTACTTACATTTAATTTACCTTCAAACTATTCCTTCTGTTGTCCAACTTTTTCAGTACTCAGATCACTGAGATCCCTCAATGCTCCGAACTGATTATTGACTGATTATGGTTTAATATATGCATTTCTATCTAATTCTTCAGTTTTTTTTTTAGGTTTCTTAAAAAAAAAGTCACAAGATCAATGGCTTTTTTACGAAATTTTATTGGGGAAAAATTTTCTAGAACATTGTTTGTTACACATCCCGATTTAGCAAAATTCCTGACTGTTATAAACTGTCAGTGTTGAAAATTCAATCGGCGGGTGTCACGTTACACCAAATTTCCATGTGCACGGAAATATTTATTTATTTATATTAATATTAATTAATATACACAAATTAAATTAAAAATTAATATCATTCAGAAATAAATTTACTAAAAATTTTTTTACCAAAGTAACAATTAACTGATTTCTTTCAAATATTTTAAAATGTCAAATATTCCAATGGTCATTGATTTGTTTGATGATGAAGTGCTTGAAAAATCACACACTAGAAAAGCTGCTGATCCTAAGTGGTTTGATGATTATCCATGGTTGGAAACTGAATCTGTTAATGGAAATATAATTTTATATTGTAGAATTTGTAGAATTTGCAATGGGACAACAGCATTTGCAAAAGGCACATCTTCATTAAGGTAAGGAAGAATTAAAGAACATATGAAAACCAATGAACATAAAAAATCAGAAGAATTACTTAAACCAGTTACTTCAAGAATTAGTACAGAAAAATTAAAAATTATTTCTTTAATGAGAATTATTTACTGCTGCTCAAAAAATAATATTCCTCTAAACACCTATCCTGATTTGTGCAAATTAACATCTCTAGAATTAATAATTAGTGATAAGGTCTCTACCTTGAAGCCTGCTTCATTAGGAAAACCATCACCATCTAAATCAAAATATGGAAACTATAATAATCATGTATCTGGTATTGATTTTTTAGATAGTATTGCTTATACAATTAAAAAATCTCTCTTTGAAGAATTAAATTCCTCAGTTTATTGGAGCATAATGATTGATGAAACCAATAGTATTGATAATGACAAATATTTAGCAATAGTAGGAAAATATATCATCAATAATATACCATATATGAGATATTTAGGTATAGTTAACCTAGACTTGACTGATGGTGAAATATATTTAACCAAATTATAACATTTTGTAATTCAAAAGAAATATCTTATGATAAAATTATTCATTTTGGAAGTGATGGTGCTTCTAATATGACTGGTATGAATTAATATTTAATTAAGTAAAAGTTTAGTATTTTTTTTTATCTTAACTGAGAATACATCTTTATTAGGATACATAAGTGGTGTTGCAGCAAGATTTAAAAAAATCAATCCATTTATGACTTCAAACCATTGTATATCACATAGACTTCATCTAGCTGGAAAAGATGCTTCAAAAGATGTTATATATTTTGAGAAATATGAAAAAACTTTAAAAAATTTGTATAATTATTTTTCAAAATCTCATAAAAGACAACAAATGTTGAAGTTGATGCAGGTAATTATATTTATATTTTTTAATCTGTTTTTTCATTTATTTTTATTAAATAATTTCATTTTAATTAGGAAATTAACAAAGAGCCATCACTTGTAATATTAAACATGTGTGATACTAGGTAATTGTCATTTTCAAATTCTGTGAGTAATTTACATAAAATCATGAAATCTGTATTGTCTACTCTAAATGATTATATTGAAGAAGGAGATAGACTTGCAGTAATTTTATATGAACAATTAGATGATACTTTCATTTCAGCAACAATGTACCTTGCTGATTTAACAAATATTTTAAAGAAATTAATCAATGCATTCCAGTTAGAACATTTATCCATATCTCATTTTAAATTACAACTTGATGTTACAATTAAACCAATTGAAACTGAATTTATAGGTTCTGAAGAAGTTCCACCAAATTATGGTACAATATTCCAAAAACATTTGGAAGATAACTATAATTTTATTCCATCATTTGTTAGAGAATATTCAATTGCAATCATTAATGCCATCAAGAACAGATTTCCAGAATATTAATTATATAACGCTCTTAGTATTTTTGATCCAAAGGAACTTCCAGATGATGACACAGAGTTAGTCACGTATGGAAATCAAGAAATAGAAATTTTAGGTAATTTTTATGGGGAAATCAAACTTGTAAATGAAATGAATTTAATGAAATCATTGATAAAGAAAAACTTAACCAAGAATGGAATTCAGTTAAATCTTATCTTCAGTTCTATAAAAATAATAATGGAGGAATGGATTTTATTCAATTATGGCACCATATTTTGGATACTGCTAACGATTTTTCTTTTAATTATCCAACTATACTACTAGTTGTTAAAATAGCACTTCTTATACCTCTTTCTAATGCTCATGTAGAAAGAATATTTTCTCAAGTGAAATTAATTAAAAACAATTTGAAGAACAAAATGCATCTAATTACATTAGATGATCATTTAATGATTTTATTAAATGGTCCAGAAATTGAGGATTTTGATTTTTTGAAAGCATATGAAAATTGGGAATGTAAAAAAACAAGGAGAAATTAATTTAATTTTTTTTGCACACGCTCTGTGTAACGTAACACCCGCCGATTGAATTTTCAACACTGTTAAATTAATTTGATCAGGTCACATGAGATACCACATCCTTAAAAGGGTCGGATTTTCATTTAATAAAATTTGTTTTCATTGTTGTTTATATTTGTGTTCTTTTTACAAAATGATAAATAAACCTATTATATTTCATGTTGACAAATTATTATTGTCTTTCATATTTTATTACTAAACATTTATTCTTCTTTTTAAAGTTAAAATATATATTTTTACATTCCACGAGTATGTTGCTTACCTTTTTTACTTTTTACTAACTTACCACTGTCTTTCATCGTGACATTATTTATCATATTACAATATACTTCAACATATTACTCATTCCTCCCTGTTTCATATATTATAAACAAACAACCATAATTTTATTGTAAAAAATGGAAATACAACCTGCAACAACAAAATTAAATCATTATTTTTCTTTCAATTTAAAAGACATACCTACAACAACAACCAGTGATAAAGAAATTGAACGACGCGTTATTGATGAAAAAATTGAAATATGTTTAGAGTGTAATCACAGCAGTAGTGGTAATAATAATACCATTAGTGACTTGAAAACAGCAAAACACTGGTGTAAAAAATGTAATTCTGAACGATTTCAAAAAAAATTATCAACTTGGACTAGCAGTAATAAAGAAATTGATCATTACATAAAAACAATACAATTTTCTGCTACTGATCATTCCGAGGTGATTGAATGGATTCCATGGAATCGTTTTACAGATATTAGAACAATTGGAACTGGACGTTTTGGTGTTGCTTATTCCGCAATCTGG